CACAGATTCCGACCCAGCCATAGTCACTTTCCTCCTCCAGTTGATGTGTGCGGATGATTGTCATAGTGGACCACTGCCTTAATTCAAGTATATCCATTTCTTGACATGTATACTAGCTACTGCGACATGTTTTCAAAAGTTTTTGAAAACACAACCTTGAAGCAAATTACAAAATGAAAACCTTAGGGAGGATCATCCCAAATGATCCAGACATTATTATACTGGACAGAAAATTCTGTTTGCTGAAGATAGTAAATTTCTTCACTGCACTTGGGCATAAGCATTTGCTTTCTGTTGCAATAAACTGGTTTAAAGTTACTCCAGATACCATTAAGCATGCACCAGCAAAATTCATAGGACCAACTAAAAGTTATGGAAGGGGAGGGGAAAGTACACTGTTCAACTTTACTTTTAGTCCAAAAATGAGACTATTGTCTCAGCATATTCCTACAAGGATTTTTACTAACTGCAGCACCCTAGAAATGAAAAACAAAGAACAATGTTGCTTTCATAGCTAGGAAGGCTATAGCAAAAACAGTTCTTGGGTGCAAAGCACTCAATGACTGAATAACATAAATAGACTTTGCCAACAACCATTTATTATGATTAGAGTTGCTGGGAGTCAGGCAGCATATACATTTTAATAATAATAATAATAATAATAATAATAATAATATCATCATCCAACTTTATTCTCCAAACCCTGATTCAGAAAACGTGGTTGATTAGTTTTTTTGTCAAATTCAATTTGAAATCAACAGAGTGTGCAGGATGTGCTACTTGTAATTGGAAACTAAAATGTCAAAATTAGAAATAGTAAGGAGAAAAATGTAACTGAACTATATGGCCTAGGAAACAGAAATGAAGCAGGAGAACAACTCATCAGTTTCTGCCAATACAATGACTTCTTCATTGCTAGCACACAGACAATCAAGCTGACACCTATTTACCTCAACGATATTATTGGCACAAGGCGATAGAAGAGCACAGTTATAAGAGCAAAGATGTGACCAGGGGCTGACTGTGCAACAGATCATAAACTGATCATGTGCGTGTTAAGCTAAAGTGGAAGAACAAAGCCAACAAGTTTCCACCAAGAACATCAGGAATAGCTTTGAAGTCCTGAACTTCATTGATAAGGAACCAGAGGAGCTATGGAATAAAATCAAAGCAGTTGTTAAAGGATGAATGTGAAATGAGACTGCCAAAGACCAAGAAACAGAAGAAACCAAACTGGATGTCAGAACAGATAGTGGAAAATGAAGAGCAGAGAAGCCAAAGCAAAGAAGGACAAAGCTTCGGATATGAACTTAAAAAATAATAATCAGAAAGCTATTAGAAGAGACAAGAAGCAGTATAACATCATCTGTGAAGACATCAAAAATAGAAACAGACATGAAAAAATAGTCTTCCAAAAGTTCTCCAAATTCAGAAGGAAGAAATTGATATGCTAAAGGACCCTGAGAGACAAAGAGTAACTGATTCAAAGACATACAGTAGAGAAGTCAACATCCAATATACCTTAAAAGATCATTTCTATTTAAAAGAACTTCTATATCAGAAGATGGTTAGATCAGCACTCAAATCATTATCAAGAACTTCTAATACCAGTAGATGAGGTTAGAACAAAATTCAGATCAGAAGGGTACAAGAATTAACAGAATATCTACAGAAATATGGTAAGCAACATAAGAATCATCAATAAAGTTTCTAACCAAATTGTGCCAGAAAATCTGGAGAATCACACAGTGTCCAGCCATTTGGACTACATACTAAAGGAGACTATACATAGTGTACAAGCTATTATACAATATCCTTAATTTCACATCTTAGCAAAATAATGCTTAGGATCATCCAATGGAGATTACAGCCTTAGAAAGGAAGATGCCAAATATTCAAGCTGGCTTTTAAAAAGGCCAAGAAACAAGAGATATTATTGCTAATGCACACTGGATAACTGAGAAAGCCAAAACACCAAAAAGTCAGTATGTTTTTCATTGATTATAGAAAGGCCTTTGTGATAGCCATGTCAAGCCATAGAATTTTCTTAGGAGAAAGGGAACTTTCCTCATTGTCTTCATGTAAAACCTATACCCAGAACAGGAACCCACAGATTGGCTCCCAGTTGGTAAAGAAATGAGATAGGGATGTTATTTATTCAACCTATGTGCTAAATATATATCGTGAGAGGTTGGATTGGAAGAAACATGCTTTTTAAATTGGACAAAGAAACATCAATATCCTGCACTGTGCTGATGGCACTACTTTGATAAAATATTAAATATACAGAAGACAAACTAATGACAACAGGTAGAATAACCAGCCTTAGAACTAACAATGAAGATACTGAAGCAGTAAATAGCTTCTACCTTTTAAGACTGACTATCAACGGTAAAGGAACCAGCAGTCAAGAAATACACCAGAGACTAATACTTGGTAGGTTAGCAATAAGGACCTTGGAAAAGATATGCAGATGTGTCTGTAACTTCAAAGATCAGAATCATACAGGCAGTGATTTCCCTGTATGGAAATGGAAGTTGGACTTTGAAGAAGCAGGACAGAAAGAGATGCTTTTGAACTTTGGCGCTGGAGAAGACTTTTGAGAATACCATGGACAGCCAGGAAAACAAACAAATGAATCTCAGAACAAATCAATTCAGAGTTCTCAGAGGCACAAACACCAGGCTCAAATTATCATGTTTTGGACACATTATGTGAAGACTGAATCCATAATGCTGGGAAAGGTGGAAGGAAAAAGAAGACAA